CCGTCCGCGCACTTATAGTCGATCCTCCATTGTTAACGAACAGAATTCACTCAGCATCATTACCGGTCATTGCGATCGCTATCGAGAACATGGAAATACTCCCATCAAAAAAGTCTTCGACATAGCGCTCCTGTATTCTTTGCTGCGATAGTGCGTTAAGAGGACGTCAACCTTGAAACGAAACTTCGACTCTCTAGATTCAATCTCTTTTGACGATCACGAACCGAATCTTACGTCAGGCGCGTAACACACCGTAGGGTAAATATATATTTGGTTATTATCTTGATTGAGATATTTCTCGGAGTCGATTGATATTGAGTTTGCTCGCGGCTTGCCTGTAGATTTCGTCGAAGAAGAATATGACGGAAATGTGAGCATGCACCGTCTCAAATATTTCTTTCAATCGCGGAGTTCAATGGTAGACGAGATAAACACGCGATTAACTGTCTTTCAACGCGAAGGATATTTAAATCCGGCTAGAGGTGATCTTAACAAACGCTAATAGTTGCCGAACATTTCAGTCGGTGGAATTTAAATTTTGAACGCGACAACCGGCATCGATCGCTTGTTGTCTGATAACGAAACGAACCATTAATGGGAAATCTCAGCTCCGTTTGGGAAGAGCTGCTTTTGGATGTAGCGTATCATTCGTTATTCATTGTACGTAATCGTGCACGTCGTCATCGCGTCATCACCGAGAACATCAACCATCATAGAGATCATCGTACATACTGTAATACGAGATCATAGTGTTCGTATTTATAACTGGACGTTCCGCTCTCGAAGTCAATCGAGCGTTCAAATCGATCAAATACACGTTGTATAAAAACAAATAAATCACGCATTTAACAATACGATTTTGGATATTCGTTGTGCTTTCCGACGTTTGAAATACGCCTCGCGATTTTCCTATTATAAGTTTAAAGATACGATGAAATATCAATCAAGTTTTACATGTTAATACATACCGTACAAAGTAATGTAAAATTTTCGCAAATATACGCATTTCTCTTTTCATTATAGGCGCATTAAAGTGTAAAACCACGATCGAAATCCACGTTCGCGGCTTCGAGAGTACGGAGCACGACGTAACAATAAGTAATGGGAAACAATACAATAATTTTTCATACTGTTTTTACTTTTTACTACTATGATTACGTATCTTTATAATCTTATTCTTATCGTATACTGTATATTTAACCGCGGCGCGTACCAAGCGATGCATTCCCCGGCACACATTAAGGATATCTACGGTGTCGCGAAAGTCGTGCCTCTGCAGGATTTACAGACCGCTGAGTTTCACGCCAGTGAAACGTCAGACTCACCGCGAATGTACGAATTATTGCATTAAACATCTGCGGCTCCCGCCGCGACTGAGCATCCGACGTTAAGGAATCCGATAGATCACGAGAGGCGAAAATTCAGGAATTCAAAGATGCGGAAGTAACGAGATACCGAGAATGCGAGAATATTCACGATCGCAGAATCCGCGAGAGTACAGGAGAGAACTCGAAGATCGAAGAACCGAAGGATTCTACAGAGTCGGTCGACAATGTTTCATTATCAATGATAAGACAAGAGTATACGTAATGTGTCTGCTGTATACTCGCGTTACCGTACGTTTTCCGGCGAACATAAGAATCATTTCGCAACGCTGTAAATCCTGAGGTCCATCTACCGAGGCAATCTTTACACACGCGTTACCGGTGTTACATACTACGCTCTACAGTTTGTATCTATAGCAGTTGTCGAGAATTCGACTCGATTATAGTACGAGCACGAGATGAATGCTCGCGTGTGCCGGTGTGCGTATGTTGCGTGTGCTTGTGTGTATGCGACTCGGGAGAGCGAGGGCTCGCTTGCGTGTGTGTTCCAAGAGCGATCCACGATCGGCGAATAACGCGAGAGTAGAGAGAAAGAAAGAGAGAGAGAGAGAGATTATTTCCCGATGTGCGAGGAAACGGCGGTAACCAAAGCTTAGCGCGCAATTCACGAGTCTCACGAGAGATCTCGCAAACCAGGTGCGAACGGGAATGAACATCGCGTTCTTCGATTATAGTTCGCCACCCTGCATCGTGTGTTAACATGCTTTCAGTGTAAGTCGTTTCGTAAGCTAGATTTCGATACCTCCTGATAACGAGGAGAGCACAGTTCTGAGAGAAACCAAGAGCTGCGCTGCGATCTCTGCGCGTTCCATCCCCCGGAGATTGTAGGGAGCGTGAAATTTCCGAAGCACAAGCTTGATAAAGTACAAATCCGCGGAGCTGTCGGGCTTTTCTTTGATACCGCTTTTGCGTCTCAACGATTAATATTCCGTTCATCACATGTCCCGCGTCCAACCGTCGAACAATCGATTATGCTCTACACTTGGATGAATAACGTGAAATCAAGAAATTCCCATTCGTCGGGATATGCGTGGATCTTAATTTCATTTCGTAAATCGCGATTCATTCTTAAGTCTCACGTGTGATAAACATAATGAGAGAACGTTCAGTCGGCATGTAAGTAGACTTACGAGAGCTTAGCGCAACGCGCAGAATCGCAGTGAGCGCGTGATATCACGGAAGATTGTTGAAGGATATCGTGAGGACTAATCTTTCCCGTTCGGTATCGCACGGGTTGACAGCAGCGTCATATGAGCGCTCTTTACGGATCGCCGTCAATTAAAAAAAAGAACCGAGATCGCGACGAGAGCGCCGGCAGAGAGTGAACGCGACAAGATAGTCGACGGGGACGGAACGTAGTGTCTATATAAGAGTACGCGCGTAACCGTTAACTAACGTTATTTACTTGCCGTACCGATACCTGTGTCCGCGCATATCACGTGTGTTTGTGTGTGCGTGTGTGTGTGTAGACGCGTATGCGTGTGTGCGTGGTGTGCAACAATAAATGAACAAACAAAGAGAGAAACGAGAAACCGTAGACTGCCTAAAAACGCGCGACCGGACTAACGGAGATACGAATACTCTCACAGTACACATACATCGTATACACATTTTCGTATGATTTTTAACGTCCGCGAATACTTCTTGAGCGATCGATTTTGCAATTGCGCGTCGTTCGAATTAGACGAACGAGTAGAACTCGTCCAAAAAAAAAAAAACAAACAAACAAACGCTCGGACCGTCTCTTCATCCGGACGCGTCGGCATCGCTAACAGTTTTGTCACCGACTTCTCGCGTCCAAGTGCTCGAACGCTCGTCCCGTGGTTTTCCGTCTGTCCCGGTTCTCCCTACGCTTCAACTTCGGTTTTCCGAGCGAATGAAAATCTCCGATCGCATCCCGAGGCGCGAGATAATTTCCCGAAGACGACGAGGTCCCCGGCTACCTCGGTAGGACGAAAGCCGCGATCGCGTCGTCGCGGAAGTTTATCCACGTCGACACGTGTCGATCTGATCGATTCCGATCTCGTTGAGAAAGCGAAGTTGAAATGTATTCGTTACACGGCAGGGTATATTCTCGTGGGCGCGGTTATACGTGTCGGCGAAGCAGAATTTTTGTCCTCCGGTTAACCTCCGATTCTTCGCGAGGTTAATAACGCGCGTATTAAAATATACGACGATTATCCAGCTCTCGCGGCGGTCATGAATTTCTTTTAAAATTATAATTGCCTGTTAGAATTTCAAATGAAACGCACTTTTATCACAGTCGAAGTGATCCATGCGGATTTTTATTTTTCGACGCGCACAGCGAACGACGCGCCGGTGTTGTTCGGCGAAAACTCATTCGGTCGATGCATTTGACATTTTTGCGACTACAAATGTCTCATTGTAGAATAATGAGTGGAGGATCGTGTAAAGAAATTCGCGATGAATCAGCTAAGAACTGAATGCAGTATAAATATCGCGTATCGCCCGCAGTGGAAGGCTTCTCGAAATATACTCTGTTGTACGGAGAACGCGCGGTCAAGTGAAAACTCGTGTAGGCGTCGCAATGTTAATTTCCGCAACGAAGCAACAGGTGGGCCGTTCAGGAATCGCGCGATCGCGACGAACACGCGTATTGACGAATGGAAATTGATGGCGACAGCGACAGTGTTATGTAACGATTAGGAATAGCGCGAGCGGACGATCGATCGTTGGATCGCGCGATCGGAGCGGCCGGACGACGATCACAAACGAGAGAAAAGAAAAAGGAAAGAATTTCGAGCCGCTTGGTAAACGATTCAGTGCTTAACAAAGCCGAAAGAGAGGAACACTAATTATATCTCTCCGTAAATATCCTATAATATACCTAAAACCAAAAAAAAAAAAAAACGATAACCAAAGCATTGTAACCTTCTAGAGGCAAAGAAGAAATAGAGAAGTACCTAATCTTGTATGGTTTAGTTCGACCACTGATTTGTCCGTGTGTGTTCGTTATTGAAATATGTTTCTTTAGTAAAAAAATCTTGAAAAATTTCCGCCAAAGTGTTTTCAATTTACCTATATCTCCAATTTTCCGATCCGTCTTCTACTCAACTACCTACCTCTCCTCCGTCTTCAATAGCATCGTTTTATGCAAAAAGAACGTCAAGATAGTCTATGGGAAATCGGAACGTTCCGATTTCATCCGAATTATTATTCCGAATCGGCGTATGATTCTACGCGACAATCTTGCCAATATCAGGGTTTGCCATCCAATCACAAGAACGGAACGAACAGCGAGCACGTCAATGAGATTTCAGCGAGACGAGCCTTACCACCGGTCGTCGACGTCCGCTGGCGTCCGTTGATGAAGGCAAGGACGATTCCGCAGGACGATCCCCGCTTGATTACGCCAGCGAAGTATGCACCGGAAGGATGTACCACGTAGAATCGAGCGTGAAAGTGACACTTGTCCGTGACGCCTGTCTGTGTTTATTTTAGGAAGCGCGATGGAAAGTTTCGCCGCATTCCGCCCTTGTACCTGTCCCGGCGGACGCGCTGCGATTCAAAAGAGAGAGAGAGAGAGAGAGGGAGAGGTTGGAAAAAGAGGGAGGGTGATGATCGCGCGCGTAGCGTGCGTGGTGGTGCGCCGCCTCAGTTCGCTCGCGACGTTAGCATCGTCCGGTTGTGGCGCCATCGTATTCCCTTCTCCCTCGGTTCTCGCTCTCTCGCGCGCGTGGGGCATTGTCTCAGAGGAACGATCACCTGGTTCCTGGCGCATCCGTGAGTCCATCGAGCGCCGAAAACGACGCGTCTTCTCCCGTGGTGCACGCTGTGTGTTGTGGTTTCCTCGGCGGTCGAGTTTTCGTCGACCGTGTACCTCTCGTCCGGAGCAACAAGTGAGCACGTGGAAAATACGCGGCTCCGCCGGTGAGTCGAGATCATCTCCGTCGGGGAAGCCCGGCTGAAACGTCGATCTCGCGCGCGGGAAGATCGGCTTCGCGCAGCACGAGCTGCAGCGCCAGTGCGCGAACGGTCACGGAATTGAAACGGGGTCACGTGATAAAAACGATCGCGCACGGAAGTTGGCGTCTTGCGATTCTCGCGAAGTGAACCGCGCCAAGTTCGCGCCGAACACACGGCGGAGCGGGTCGCGCGCGGGTGGCCGCGGGAAGATTCTCCGAGCTCTCGTCGTGGGCTCGTCGAGAGATCGTCTGTGCCGATTAATCATCCGTGAAACTCGTTAACTTGGTGCGTACCTGGAGTGGATCGACGAGTGTATGACACCTCTCTCGGGACGCTGACCGTTGCGCGGACATGGACGCGGTAGTGGCTCCGAGAATCGTCGCGTCGAACGAAGAGAGAAGCACGACGTACCGACTCGTCACGTAAGCCAGGGGTGGGTTCACAGTGATCGGTGACAAGTCCCTTGGAAGACTCGCGCGAGACTCGTCGATCGTCAACGTCCGGAACAGCGCAGCAAGTTTCCCCGCCGACCGGAGTGGTGCGCGAAGCGACGCGTTGCGACGCAAGACGAGTGCGAGAAGCGATCGGGGATTTTGCTCTTTTTCCCGATTGATGATTGTGTAAGCGTCGTCTGGTCAATGGTCGTCTTTGTTCAGCTCGTATCTGGAATTGCGGGGACTCTCCTGGACCATGGCTGCCGCGAGGAGGCTCGCGGACGCGGTGACTCTCGTCGTCGTCGTTCTGCTCATCTTGCACCGCGACCTGCACGCTGTTCAAGCGCGCGGATTTCGGCGCAGCCTCAATCACGGTGAGTGTCACTTCTACGGTCACCTCGCCGATCCGGTTCGGTGTTCCTTAAATCGCTCTTTCCGCGCGATATACAGCGGTACGCGGAAATTTCACAGAATAATAACCGACAGGCTTGCGCTCTGATTAACTTACGGATTCTCGGACGAACTCGGAGTCAATTGTTCCGTTCCTTTTAGACGAACTGACTCCGCCCGTTCAAGAAATTTACGCGCGTTGAAGCGTGAGAGTCGTACACTTTAGTGCATTTTTTTGAACCGGTGCAGTCATTTCAACTAAAAAGAACAGACCGAATCTTTCTCCAAATGGTACACGTTGATAAAAGAAATTATGATTTAATAGCATTTTCATAATTGTTTTATGTTTCCAAGCGAGATTCGGCCTTGGAGAAATTTAAGAAGAACACCGATCCATGTGTCTTAAATATCGCAAAAATATAGTTCACGACATAATTACGGGGTCGCACTGAATAAATGTTTTAATTAGACTAGATTTTTTTAATTAAATGAAATTTGCCTAATTAATATAGAATCAAAATTGTGACGCGAGTTAGATGACATGAGCATTCGAAGAAGTGATTCCCTAATTGTTTCGAGCAACTATAATAACACGATAACGTAATTATATTTCGCGACGTGATAAGCTTAGTTAAAACGCCAAAATGATATTTACGTAGTTGTTGGAATGCCAGTATTTCCCTCCGTAATTGCTTTAATCGTGCCATATCCATTGAAAATACATTTCACGCATTCACTGCCCAACAAAGCGATTGTACAATCAATGTTTGCATTCAGTCGAGTGTCATTTCGTACTTTAATAGCATGCTTCGCGCGATGTCGAGCGTCGTCTTTGTGTGTGTATACCTTCTTCTTTTTTTTTTTTTTCTTAAAATCCAGATTACAATATCTGCCGTAGCGGCCGTTGACGTTACGGCGCACGGATTTACATAAGACGTAAAATATTGCCCGCGCGCGTAGTGGAATACAGTCGCTTATCCACAACATATTGAACATTATGCAAATCGGTATGATACCATACGTACCAAAGGTCCCGTCTTGAAATGCGTTTGAATTTTATTGCCGGCGAGAAGCGCACTCTGCGCTTTTATTTTAGGACGTCAAACATCGTGCTTTAAGTACTTCCACATCGATGCACGTTTTATAGCCCCGTTATTCGCTTCGGAGCGAATCACCGATCAAGGAGTCGTGCGATCATTTTTCACGGAAATACCAAGACATCGTTCGGAACTGTGATTTATACGAGACCTTCGACGTGCTTGCAGCACGCTGCTTATTTACAAGATTATGATACATTGTCTCGCGACTGCAAGCCGACGTTAGCGCGTCTCACGCGAGTCTCGCCGTCGCTCGCCGTTCTCGGCGCGGAAGTTAATTACCGATTCCGCATTAAATCAACGCCGTCGCTCCGGATTGCGCTTACGCGACGACTCACGCGATCCACGACGCCCACGCGACGCCGCGCGCTCACCCCGACGCGTGATATTTCGCTCGACATTAAATCGCACGCGATGCACGCCGCTTCACGCTCCTCCGCATCTCCGAACGCACGAGGCGTTCTCGTTTCCTCACCCTTCGACCGCACACTTCTGAAAAGTCACCATTCCATATCTGCAAAACTGTGGAAGGAAAGAGACTGACGATATTCTAGAATAAAGTGTTGTAGCTCTTCTACTTTAATGCTTGATGATGCATTCATAGAAAACCAAGTTTTAAGTTACCGAAGAAAAGCATCATTGCTGCAGCTCTTCAAACACAACTCGCCGGTTCTATCTGACCCACAATGTGATCGAAGGGTTAAATCACGACTCGCTTCCGCGCGCGGCGCGTGTGGTCTCGAAAATATTGTTGAAAATCCCGAGGGACCCCGCGTGCCCGCGGCCTCGTAAAACGCGCGTCTGCTCCGAGAATATTAAGTGTCAGGACATTCCGCGCCTCCCCCGGCGCGAGCTTGTTGCTTTATATTTAGCGGCGCGGCGAACGCGCCGATTCGAATACACCGTAGGGCGTGCGCCGCGAGAAAGTGAGTGTCAACACACCCTTCACTCCTTCACAGGGCGATCAAAGGCATATTCTCCTGGGGATATCGATTCTTTCGTGCGACGATATCGCGCGGAACGTGCGCGCTCGGACGTGGAGCAATAAAAATGCGCCGGGGCGACCGGGGAAAGAGCGAGCGAGCACGACGAAGAAGCACACGGTTTAAAGCGTTTCCGGCCGTGTAATTTAACGTAATTTATGAGCGCTCGGATTTTTCCACGAACAGTTTATTCACGTGCGCGTATATACACCGAAAAAAAAGTGTAATCGTTCGTGTAATATTTACTTGATTTACATAATTCTATATTACACAATTCTAGTAGTTCCGAAATATTACATAATTCTAGTAAATACATAAAGATTTTTTTTTAGATTTAACACGATTTTTTTTAATTGAAATCTTTTTAATTGAAACAAAATTTTATCGGAGCGTGTGCACACGTCGTTTAATTGTGGTCAAGAATAATTCGACGCGTTAATCGGTCCGATCTCTGTGAATGTTCCGAACGCTGTCATCCGATCGTTTCGCAATTCGCATCGCGCTGCGACTGGAATTTTTTTATAAAGTAACTCGAGTTTGGCATTAAACAACTTGACTCTTAACGCGATGTATTAAATTACCCGCCCGAGATAACTGCAGAGAAAGTTCTGCGCGCGCTAAATGCAACATTCGCAATTTAAGTTTTTCGCCGCGCCGCTAACGAAGATTCAAGAGCAGCAGCCGAGATCTCGCGACGCGACAATGCATCACCGTGCGCTCTAGATCGTCGTGTTTCGATGACGTTCCCGCGAAACACTTCGACCGTCCGACGGCTCGTTTACGATATAATTAACAGCCAGTTAACGGCCACGGTTCGGCCACTGAGAATAATTAACTTCGACCGGGTGCTTTCACCTTTTGTGTCGTTTACGCTCTCGTCGACGCCGCCCCATCCCCCCTCCTCTCTTTGCTCCCTTGAATTTTCGGTCTTTCAGATCTTCTCATCTTTTTCGGGCATAGAGCCGCGCGGTGAGGGACGCATTTTTAGCGACGCGATGACCGCGTAAGCGGCCACCTTGACTCTCGTTAAAGAAAAGTAACGCGCGGTAATTAACGTCCTTCCGACGCGAGATCGATCGATGGATCGCACACGTAGGTGAGCGGAGCGCGGCCCGCGATCGGATCTTCGTGATACCGAGATCGTGCGGCGCGCACCAGCCCGCTCTCGCATATCGCTTCCTGTTGCTGCAATCCGGCCGATCAGCTCGCTCTCGTCGAGCGGCAAAAGCGAAATTCCACTCCGGAATATTGCGAAATGTATTTCCTCCGAGCCGCCATACGCATATAGCGTACAACGTACGGCGCGTAACGTTTAAGCTATCGCGCCGCGTCTCGCTTTACACGCGCGTTGTCTGACTGGGTGGGCCGTTGCGTCTATTTATTTATCAGCTTATTCCGCCAACGTTTCTGTAAGGAAAAAATTGACATGTCTGATACAAAATAGGGCTAATGTTTCCTTCTGAAGACTTTAATGAAGTTTTCTGTATCTACGATCGAGTTTTCATTTAGTCCCCAGATAACAGAAAATTTCGGTTGTCATGGCCGAAATTCAGTTACACGAATTGAATTTTTTTTCCTTCCCGTGTATGAGAAGAACGGTCTCTTTAAACGAAATAATTCAAACGGTAAAAGGGGCGGTATCCCAAAAAGTAACCTGAGAATGTTTGAACGCGTCCGACAATCAACGCAGTGAATGTTAACGTCGTAACGTTAATGACTCAGACGCGAAATAATTTAGTTATTTCCGGCGTGATTTTCGGACGTCGAGCGTGCGCACGATAATGAAACGACCGGCTGAATCGAATGAAGATAAAGGGATAAAGACGCCGTGGCGGTGCCCTCGAGTTGTCGAGGCGTGGAAGGCGGTACTCGAGTCTATCTAAACGGCGAAGAAGATTCACCCGCGGGGGAGTCATTAATTTAATTAGTTTCGGGGAAAGGGCGGGTTTAATCGCTCGCTCCGATGGATCGACATGAATGCTCGTTGTTCGCGGGGCTCAAAGAAGCGACCGTTTCTGCCTCGAGAGCCGCGCGTCGCGCCCGATCAGCGGTTATCTTCGGGAACGTTTAACGGGGAAGTTTAAAGGGAAACCGATGCGCGGCCGATGACATCGGAGATATCTCTCTCCTGTATAATCCTTGACGTGCTGTCTGACACGGAGAATAACTTTCTTCGCGTTCGAGACGAGTCTTAATTAATTATGCATGCGTGATGTACGACAAACTGTCGCATGCTCTTTATGAAACCGGAACGCAAACATCGTGTGATTAAACATTTTTACTGAACACTTTTCACCAATGCCTTGATCTACAATAAATGTAGTAAGTTTTAAGCCGTAAAAAATCGACCAATCACGGTCGAATTTGAGAAGAATAATCGATTGCGATTGGCCAATTTCTTACGGCTTACCACACCTATTGTAAATTCGGGCCAACATTTGGACCGAAATTTCCGATACGGATCAGCCTGCGGTTTCTCACGACCGTACTCACGTATCGATCCCGAGAATTGGCACGCAACACGCATCAATCACTTTGACGCGCTAAAATACGCCCGCTAACGATAAACGGCCGACGTGTGTTACGTAGCGCACCTGGCGCTTTTCGAAGCCGGCGCAACGCGCGATGCGACACGACGCCCGCTCGTCCGTCCGAAATCACTGCGCCGCTCTCGAAATAATCTCATTCTCGTTCCGCGCGCACGCTCTTCGTTTTATTCCTGTTTAAATGCCAGCCGCCGGGGCATGCAAAGTAACACTGCCGGCGTGTACGTGCCCGGAGTACCGAGGCTTTCTGTGGGACCATGTGGACACGTGAGCGGGGCCCTTAAGGGAATGCGAGACCCGACCGTAACAAGGGCGATCGCCTTGAACCTCGAACTGTGACCTTCGTTGCTAGATCCTC